TGGTAAAGCATCATCAAATATTTGTGTGATCCAAATTGTCTATCATGAGCCTGGTAATATCTGATGCAGTGAACTGTGAAATTGGGCATGTATAGAGGTTATCCATCAACGCATGCAAGGGTTTTGAATGAAAGGAAGGATTATATTCACAGGGTGCCCCCTCTTTTCTGCTTTTTCTTCAACCCACATCAGAGGCCTCATGGGTTGCTCCCTGTCAGCTAATGGGGGCAAAAGCTCAGGCCTGGTTAATACTAAGAATTAATACTAAGTATACTGGTATACTAAGTGCATATCAATGGCCATCCTGCTCCAGTCTCAGTCAGAGCTGATCTGAAAGACTATGTTGAAAGTTTCCCCAGAGCTCCAGGAAGTGCATTCATTTGTTTACCTCTTCAGTGTAAGAGATAATCTGAGACATTTGATCCGTGCTAACTCATGGGGAACGGCAAACAAGTTGATCTGCTCACAGGAAGTTTAAAGAGGACATGATTGAGACACTGATGATAAGGACATGTATGGGAAGGGAATGTGTATGAAACTCCTCAAAGAAAGAAAGAGAAGAGAAAACCAGAAGCTACCCCATTCTGTAGTGTTAGCCTTTTCTGAACCCTTTTTTTTTCAATGTTTATTTTTATTTTTCATGATAATTACATAGTTGAATAGGATGAATAGGATTGAGTGTTAGGGATAAATGGGTGAAACCATTATTTCCAAATTTGCTATTTCTTTTGGTTTCTGGGGGGAAGGAGAGCTTCCCAAATGTCCCAGTACCTGGGGATGGGGAACTGCCTCCCGATATCTACCCGGGGTCCTGGTGTGCATGTTCCAAGGGTTCTGCCCTGGTGGCTTGGATAGTTCTGAAATGCTGTTGATTTCGCTGAGCCAAGGTGATACAACCCTCTCAGTGTCCATTGACTGACATGGTCAATCTCGAGTCTTCATTAATGCAGGTTTTTGCTGTCATTGTTTGGCTGGGGTATTAGTACAGTTTGCTCAGTTCTTCTGCTATGGTACCAAATGGGCTGCTATATTCTCCATGTACATCAGGGTCTGTGTCCATTGCTCTAGCTTTTTCACTGTGGAGAGCATATTCTTGCAGGCGAGCCCAAGGACCTGGGCCAGGCGACCCAAGTCCCACTGGATCCCCCACCCTGGGGCTCTTGAACTCTGCATCCCCCACCCCTTGCTGGTGGTCCCAAGGACATGAGCCCGGTGACCTGAGCCCTGCTGGATCCCCAATCCTCAGGACTCATGAACCGGCATCTACCTCATAGGTGGGCACAGGGGCCCAGGCCAGGTGACCTGATCCCTGCTGGATCCCCCACCCCTGGGCTCATGAATGTAGCACCAACTTCACAAGTGGACCAAGAGACAAACCCAGCACCCACATCTCAGGTGAGCATAGGGACCTTAGGACTTGGGTCACCTGGCTCAGGATTTTGAGCCCACCAGCAAGGGGGTGCTGGGTTTGGAAGCCTCAGGGGTGGGGGATCTGGTAGGGTTCAGGCCACAGTATATATTTATTATTTTTAATTTTTATTGAAAAGGCAGATTTACAGAGAGTGGGAAACAAATCTTCCATCTGCTGGTTCACTGCTGAGTTCATCTGAAGCCAGGAATAAGGAAACACTTCTGGGTGTCTTAGGCAGATACAGGATCCCAAGGCTTTGGGCCATCTTCTTCTGCTTTCTCAGCCCACAAGTGAGGAGCTGGATAGGAAGTGGAACAGCCAGGACACAAACTGGCACCATATAGGATGCTGGTACTTACACGCAAAGTGTCACCCAGTTGAGCCATTGTGCTGGCCCTCTTAGGCTACTGTTGCTCTCTCAGTCATCCCCTGAGTACTTTACCTTGTACCCCAATATTCTAAAACAGCTAGTTCAATAGAGTAGAATAGCTTGCTACAGATTCAGTAATGAGCACATCTGGAAGACATTGCCATGCCAAGTTTGGATTATTTATTTTTATTGGAAAGTCAGATTTACAGAGAGGAGGAGAGAAAGAAAGAGCCTCCATCTCTGGTTTACTCCCCAAGTGGCCACAATGGCTGGAGCTGAGCCAATCTGAAGCCAGGAGCAAGTAGCTTCTTCCAGGTCTCCCACATACGTGGATGCAGGGTCCCAAGTCTTTGGGCCATCCTCAACTGCTTTCCCAGGCCACAAGCAGGGAGCTGGATGGAAAGTGGAACAGCCAGGATATGAACCAGCACCACTATGAGATCCTGGTACATGCAAGGCAAGGACTTTAACCAGTAGACTACCATCCCAGGCCTGCAATAAATATCTTATATCAGCAGCAAAGTTCTGTTTTTCCACAGCCAAGATACTTGTTCTGGAGACTAAGAAATGGATATTGAAGTGATCCCTCTTCTGATAACCAGCTGCACAGTGTTTTCTTTCCCTGTGACCTTGGATTTGATTGTTCTGTTGCCCAAGAGCTGAATTTAGGGAATATTCCAAGTTGGGACTGTCCTCTGGCCAATTTTGGAATTCCTCTTTCTTAACAGTTTAGTATTTTGTGTTTGTTTATATTTATTTTAAAGGCACACGAGGAAGACACATGACACAGGGAGGGGGTGTAAGAGAGTGTGCATCTTCAACTTCACACTCCAAATGCCCATCACCAGGGCTGTTTCAAAATGAAGCCAGGATCCTAGAGCTGCATCTAGCGAGATCTCCCATTGGGCTCAAATACTGAGCCATCATTTGCTGCTTTGTAGGGTGTGCATTGGCAGGAAGCTAGATTGGGAGCACCAGTGGGACTCAATCCCAGAAACTCAGATATGCAATCCCAATCTGGCTTCACCTGCTGGCCAATGCCTGCCCTTGTGTCTCCTTATACTACTAAACTGGGAGGCACTGAGGTCAGTGTAGCTAGGATAATTATCTTAAGTATCAGGAGGGAACTGGGTTAGTGCTTCACAGTGAGGACGAAGAGGACTTTAGAACTTGGGGCATGCAATACCTTCATTTCATAACAGCACATCATCTTGGCCAAAGGGATACTGTAGCAACCCCACCAGAAGAGACCAATCAAGAATTCAAGTCCCACAGGAATGAATATTTGGGCTGTTCCTCCTAAAGTGTAGGAGGACATTGTGACCCTAGGTCATCTCTTTTGGTCAGGGTGTTGGCAGAGACAAGGGGATCTTTGAACAGAAGATGGAAGACAGCATCTGTGGTTTGGAGTTTGGGACTTGGGACAACTCTAGCAGTAGGGATTGCAGCAATCGTTGCATGTTCATGTTCTCGTGGTTTCCTTGTCTGTTACTGACAAAATTCTATTGGGAGTTCATGTGTCAGGTAATAGGTGATCAAAGTGACGTCATTGGTGATAATATGGAGGGTAATGGGGAGCTCCATGTTCCCTGCTTTGGGGACATTCTTATTCACGAAGGGCGAGAGGGCTGCTGAAGGGTGGTCTGAACCATGTGTCTCCTGTTTGTGCCTCTTCCCTCAACCCCAGGCCAGCGCTCTTCTGCAACTGCTCTTTGCTGAATTAATTGCCTACAAGGCCTGGCTGGAGGAGAGCCAAGGCAGGAATGGAGGGACCAGGAGGGGTGAGGATAGTTAGGCTCCTGATTTGCTCCTTGGACCGTCTGTCCTGACTGCCTATGCTTCAGACTGTCCTGGGCTTCAGCTACTTTCTTTCCCCTCATTATTTTTCTTTTGCAGTGGGCAGCGGCTCTGCTCCAGGTTTCTGCCCTGTGCTTATGGTATTGCTACACTCTGTTTGATTCTCTGCAGTATTTCCCTTTGCATATAATCCCTTCTCTGCTTTTTCTGTTCTCAGCATGCATGGCTTTGATTCGTCTTGGGCTCCTGACTCAAAATGGGCACCAGGAACCTAATTTAATTTTCATGATGACCTGGCTATCCTGGTGTTCTTGGTTGGCCTCCTGCTGTAAATCTGTTGCTTCCTTTCAGCATACTTAGTCCTCACAATTGCTTAGGGGTATGTGTCCTGTTCACCTTGCTTGACAGATGAGGAAACTGAAACACAAGTCAGTAACCAGCGTACACGAATTTACCCACAGTCACAAAGTTGCAGATCTGTCTGTCCCATAAGGCTGTCTCAGGGGCTATTGGTACAGTTTAATCCCATTGTTAGACATAGAAAAATGAAGACCAAGAGATATCAATCAGTAACACATTCCTATTATAAACCTCATTCTACAACTTAGTCTTGAATCAGTTAAAGGAAGAAGTGCATCACAGGAGGGACCTAAAGATCAAGAGGGAAACAATAGATTCTCTCTACACCTAGGGACTTAACAGCCTTGATTAACATATGGTTAATGGGGGCAGCCTAAATAGTAAAAGGCCCTTTTGCTAAGACATTATCAACAACATCAACTTCCAAGTTCACATTGATAGTAAAGACCAACTCTGCAGAGGCAGACAATGACTAAATAGATTACAGAAATCTCAGCGGGGTTGTCCAGTGTCCATGCAAAGGGAGGTGGAACTGCATTCGGATGGTTGTAGAGAATCCAGCAGGCCCCGCCATGCAGCAGGAGATTCCTTGTGGCCCTGCTTGCAATGGAACAATACTCTTCACACCTTTGTGTCTTCCATACCCACTGCATGGACCACAGCAGTTGAATTCCTGACTACCTTCCTGGGAGCAGTGGACCCTTGGTGGCAGCAAGCAACTCAAGTAGTTGGGTCCTGCCACTCACATGGAAACCCTGGAGTGTAGTAGCAGCTCCCAGCTTTGGTGCAGACTGCCTGGTTTGGGGCTGTTATGAGCATTTGGGAGTAAGCCAGGAATTGGGACTTATTTATTTATTTCTTTTGTCTCTCTCTTTTTCTCTCATAAAAATTTAAGAGCAACAAAAAGTATCTTGTTTATATTGGACTTCATTTGCAGAAATTTTGAAAGTCTATTTATTTAAAACATCTTTAGAGACATGTGATGTTTCTAATCCAGCTCTCCGACAAAGCTCCCTGCACTCACAGGGGATACCCTGAGAAAGTTCTGGGCTCCTGGCTTCAGGCTGGCACAGCCCTGGCCACTGTAGCCATTTGAAGATTGAACCAGAGATGAAAAATCTTGTGCGCTCTCTCTCACTGTCTGTAATTCTGGCTTTCAAAGAAATAAAGTTAGATCTATAAAAACATAAAAGAAAGGTGATGGACCTTATTCAAAATCTTCACTGATTTCTCAAGAGAACTTTGTTTTAGAATTCTGTTTTGCACACTTGTTAGCTAATGAATGTCAGGCATGCCAAGAGTCATGTTAAAGAGACCGGTCACTTACCATGCAGAGACTGAGGAAATGCTGAAACCAGACCAGGGCAGCAAAGTCTGAGAAGGGAAACCACAATGGCCAGCGTGCCTGTAACTTAGCTCATTTTCTCTCAAAGACACTTTTTTATCTTTCACAAGTGATAACAGTTAAGGCATTAATGTTTGTGACAATGATTCCTATCGCCGGTGGCCTTGGGGACATCCTGTTTTAGACAAGCACCCCGTCAGGTATGTCCACCATCCAGCATGTGTGCCTTTCTCACCAGTGGGAATGATCTGCTTTTCAGATAACTCCATCCAGTCTATTTTCTGCTGCTGTTGTTGCTGCTCTGTGCAGAAGCGGTAAGTCAACCTGGGAGGGCAAGTTCTTGGACATGGCTTCTATATTGCCATGTTTCTGCATCTCTTCCTTGCTTCAGTTCCATCTGAGAACTCTTCTCCCATTTTATCCTTGCTGTCTGTTCATTTAAAGACTATGGGTCAAGTGTCAGATCAGTTGCGTTACTTACCTGATCTTCTTAAGTTGAATTGATTCTTTTGTGGTGGTCCCACAGTACAGGTTCTCAAAAGTTATCACCTATGTGTTATTTATACATCTGTAATCTAGTCTGTATTTGGTGTTCTTAATTATATATATTTATTTTACATGAAATTGCAGGAGAGAGTAAGAGTGAGAGAGAGAGACAAAGGGAGAGAGAGAGAGAGAGAGAATCTTCCACCCTCTGATTTCACTTTATTCCTCAAATGGCTACAATGGCCAGAGCTGGGCTGGTCTGAAGTTCTTGGAGCTTCCTCCAGGTCTCCCATGTGGGTGCAGGGGCCCACAGATCTTGGATCATCCTCCATTGCCTTCCCAGACCATAAGCAGGGAGCTACATTGAGTGGAGCAGTTGGACTCAAAGCAGAACCCATACAGGATGCCAGCATCACAGGTGCTGAACTAACATGTCATGCCACCTTGTCAGGCCCATTTGATGCCCCTTGAAGGGTCAAAATTCCTATCTAATGATATGAGCATCTTCTTAAACTCATCAGTGTGCCTTAAACGTTGGTTCCCAGTAAAGCTAAGAATGAAATCCAAGGCACCCTGTTCACAGTAATAGTCATCATGTAGCAGGCACGTCCTGTGTGTCAAGCACAATACCAAGAAGTTCCCGGTAATGAGCTCACGTAACTTTCAAAAGCATGAAGATTTTAAAACCTCCCTTTTACAGATGAGAGAATTGAGGCATAGAGAGATTACATTGTTGACCTGGGGCTGCACTGCAAAGCAATGGAGCTGGCATTGAAATTCAATACATTAGTCACTGCACCATGTCTAATTCATAATGATAGATACCATCAAATGAGAGAGTGTATATACAAAGCAGGTACAATGTCAGACATAGAAATAACTTTTTATTATGATGATTATAATTGTATGCCCCTAATATGGACCTGACTCTGTATTGCTCACGTGGCACATGATTTTATTTCCTAATAGCTCTACATTTCTAATTTCTGCATAAGAACTATCAAGTGCTGAGAGTTAATGATTTTCTCCAGAGAATGGAGTTGGGAGATCTTCTTTAAAAAAAACAAAAGTGGAAAGAGAGCCACATTTTCCTGCCAGTTTTGTTATAGTTCAGTGATTTGATAGATCTATTTAATCACTTATGACCATTTGCTTTGCAATGCCAGGCAAGTGAGGACAGAAATCAGCCTGAATGAGGATGAAAAATATCCTGAACGCCACCGACCCTGGTTCAGCGAATGGTCCAGTAAACATCACGTGAGTGCCCTTGTGCCCTTGGGTCCCAGGAAGGGCAGGTGGCACCGGGGACCCTTGAAGATGATGTTTTTAGTGTCTGTGCCCCATGAAGTCCTTTTGGTTGTAATGTCCAGGATGCAACATTACTCCTTGGTTCCTATAATTCTCAATAAATAGTTAATAAATGTTCCAGAAGAACATGAAAGGAAAAAAAAAATCCTGCCAGCCAAAACAACTTATTCTGCTATATTTAAAGATAGCAATTGAAACAGCAAATGGGAGAAATGGTTTCCTGGCTGCTTTCAGTCTGAGACAGCTCAGACGGGGAGTGCTCAGGAGTAACAGGAACTTATAGTCCTGTAGCAGCACCTGAACGCCAAAGGCTATTTTCTCCTTCCAAGTGCGGAAAATCCTCAAAGTGAAATGAAGAGTATATCAACATTTTAAGATTTGTGACATGGAATGTTCCAAGTCTGGCAAGAAAACTTATGATCTCACAAGTGTACACATCGAGAAGTATGTGTTTTGCTGCCTCCTGGAGCTGTCTTGTAGTTGGTCATCTTCAGCATCTATCCTGGCTTCCGCTGGGGGCGCTGGAGAGCAAGAGTGAGGCAGCAGGCGAGTAGGCTACTTCCATATTGGTTTTTTGGAATGGATTGCTAAATTAATAATAAACACAACTCCCTCCCTGGTTTTTACAGTCCAACAGGGGCCAGGGCCAGCCGTCAAAGCGTAAGCCACTGCCTCCGCTTCCACCCTCTGAGGTTGCTGAAGAGCAGATCCGAGTCAAGGCACTTTATGATTTTCTGCCCAGAGAACCCTGTAACTTAGCCTTAAAGAGAGCAGAGGAATACCTGATCCTGGAGAAGTATGATCGTCATTGGTGGAAAGCCAGAGACCGTTTAGGGTAAGGCGTGATGTCTGCATCCTTTGCAAATTCCTTCTCCTTGGGCGTGTAAGGACTTGGAAACATAAAGAAGTCTGCATTAGGCCAGGCTCTGGTGCTCCAGGTTTATAGCCCTTCCCACACTGCCACCTTTGCAAGAGGACATTAGAGCATGGCATAGGGATCTGAGGCAGCTGGCAGTGCAGATGCACCTGCGCCGGGCCTTAATGCTGCTGTGAGTCCTTGGAAAGTCACTCACTTGCTGGTTTTCATTTGCTTGTAACATGGGAATAATTTCTACCACATATGAATCTGATTTATATTTTACTTAATAAAGTCTTTTAAAATTTATGTGAAAGTCGGGGAGAGAAGCAGAGAGAGAGAGGTCTTTAATCTGCTTATTTACTCTCCGTGTGGCTACAATGGCTGGTATTGGGGAATCCAGGAGCCAGGAACTCCATTCTGATCTCCCATGGCAGAGACCCAAACACCTGGCCCATCCTCTGCTGCTTTTTCAGGTTCATTAACAGGGAGTTAATCAGAAGCAGAGCAGCAGGGACTGCTGCTGGTGATGTAATGTTGGATGCCAGCATCGCAGGCAGCAGCATTAACATGCTGTACCTGAACAGCATCCCCAAATTCTTTTTTCTTACGATGCTCCAAATGTCTAATTTACTTTTAGATGCTTTACACAAGACTAGTTTTGAGAGCAAACATTCCAATGGTTACTAAAACAGATTGAAAAGAAGCTGGATCCTGGGACGCAAATAGATTTCCTGGGGTCACCTCTAATGGATTACTGATTTAATTCACCTAAATTGTGGTCATACTTTGTTGTTCTTCATCTTGATTTCTTCCCTTAAAAACATGTCTTGGAGATCTTGTATTTCAGATATTGGGCAAGGTATGGGAAATGGGAAAAAGCCTGCCCTGGTGACTGGTGTGTAAACTAGAAACTCCTTGTAGGCAATTTGTCTACTGAAAGTATACGTATTTGATGTTATAGCGGTTTCCCTGTTTGGTTTCTACCTTCAAGAAATATTTTTACTTGTGTACAAAAAGGCAAAGGTGAAACTTCTGTATAGCACTGCTTGCAATAGGGAGTGACTTAACTAGATTATCTAGTTATAAGATGGAATACTTGGCAACATTGAAAAAAATGAAGCAATTGGTTGTTCCTGCTGTTTTTCTGACCTACCCACTGTGTTGTGAAATGATCATTTAAGAGCTGTTTTCCCTCTTTGGAGTATTTTGGAGTCCTACAACCTCTTAAAATACACAAGTAAGTCTATGAGTTTTTCTTGTACAGAGATTTTCTTTCTTTTTTAAAAAAACAATAGAGCAAAATGAATTTGATTTTTTTTAGATGCTTGAGGGTAGAAAAGGACTGTTGTCATAATAATGTCATAATCATGCTAAGACACATGCCAAGTATTTTGATTCTTTGTTCTTTTTGTTGTAGGAACGAAGGCTTAATCCCCAGCAACTATGTTACTGAAAACAAACCAACCAATTTAGAAATATATGAGTAAGTCCCCTTCAAAGTATACACCCGGGTTAACCAGTGACAAGCAGGCACATTTTGGCCACATACATGTCTCAATACTGTTTTTGGTTGCTAAAGGAAAAGAAAGTAACACATTTGGCACCTTCGGTGATAGAGATCTTTGATCCTTACAGTTGGCTTGATTCGGAAACTTGGTTTTTTTAAACTGATTTTTGTTTTGTTTTGTACAACCACTTCATTTTTTTTTAACAGATACGAAGTGAAACACTTTTCTGACGCTTGTGTTTTTCTCTATGACCTAAGTGGAAAGCTTACATTTAAAAGAAATGAAATTAACGTTTTAATGAGTAATGCACTGGACTTACCGTGTAGACAAGTTACCATATTTTGGCTTATATTTCTATTTATGTTAGAAATAACTGAGAATAAAAGCTAAGCTAGTGTTGTAGTTGGAAGAATCTGAGGGAGGTTCCCTAAAGTTCTGCTTGAACCTACTTTGTTTACAATGATAGATTTGGAAGGAAAAGATCATCACTTCTTAGCCTCTCATTCTATAGATAAGAAACTGGGGTTAATGGATTAATTTACAGGTAAACAGTAGCGAAGCTATGAGTAGATCTATTTTTGTAATCAAGTTAGATGTTTCAGCTCCTGAATGTGCCCTCTCCCCACATCTGGAAAAGTATTTTGCAGTTAGCTTACTCTTCCAGCAGGAGGCAGTAAGCAATGCAAGTTGAGGCATTGAGGGAAGTGCTGCTTTTGAAAGCCTCTTTGGTTGCCTTAAACCCACCTGAAGCCAAATTCTGTGTATCTTTTCTTAAAAGAAATCCAACTTCCAAAGCTTTGGTGAATCATATAGTCCTTATGGAAGCAGAGAAGGAGAGGATCACAGGACTCACTACCAGAATTGTCCATTCACTATTTGTGTTTTTTCTTCCAACTCACTGCTTTTGGCCCCATCTTGAGGTCTTTTCTTCTCCCCACCTTCCTCAGACTGCTGTGCCATCTCTGTTGACCTCAGCCCTGTAGCTCTGTGCTAAGAATCCAAATCAGTAAAACAGAAGCTTTCAGGAGGCTGAACTCACCTTCCTTAGAAAAAACAGTTCTGCAACTACTTGCTACTGTTACTCAAGCATGCCCCCAAGGGATCTCACTACTACCTCTGGTAAAGCAGCTCAACCTTAAGGGGTCTCTTGGAAGACCAGGTCAGAGATAGGACATGGAAATCTGTTAAGAAAAATTAGAAAAGCAAGACATATCATTATCAAAGCTTGGATTTTTTATGAGATTAAAGAGGAAATATGTGAGAGTGATTATCACAGGATCTGCTGGTTAGTGAATGGACACTCATTGCTCAGTGGTTTTCTTAACATCATTATTTGCTCATGGCTTCCTCTGTTTCAGAGGCATGGACTGTGGCTGTAATGACTCGTTTATAATGTAGATATTGGATCGTTTGAATTGTGGTACTCTGAGGTTATAATTGCCATTTTATTTCCTTGACGCTTGATTTGTGTGTCTTTTAAAAAATAAATCTTGATGACTCTAGTTATGAGAAGGCTTACTTTTTATTACTTTTTAAGAAGTAAGTTTATTAATATATATAGATATAATCATTATCATTAAAACTTTATGGTAAAAACAGTAACTTACTTAGTAATTACTATATGGTAAGCACTGTTCTAGTAACACAGAAAATTACCACCCTAGGTTGAAATGTGGGTTTAGTAATTGGGGTAACCTAGGTATAAATCTTGGACTCATATCTTACTACTGCTTTGGTTCTGAACAAAGTTACCTAATGTTTCCAAAGTTCTATATGAGCTGAAAAGTAAAGACAAGAATATTTGCCATCTATAGTAAATATATTTCCACTAAGTATGAAGCTAACAGGAAAGGAATTTACACCTGATGCAGCCCTTCTGTTGCAGGATATATAGTGTAGGGTTGTATTATAAGCATGCAGCATTTCTAAGTTACTCCATCTGTTTGAATCACTTTATTCAACTTCTGTTTACTGTACACTCGTCAGGGAGCAAGTGATGGCCATCTTGGGCACTGGAGGTAGAGCATGGAGCTCACAGAAAAGGTCTCTGCCTTTATGGAGGTTCCAGTTGTTTGTGGAATTCACAGTTCTGAATTCACAGTTCTAATTCTTCAGTTCTAATTATGTTGTTATGAAGGAGCAATCCAGAACATGGTGAGAAAAAACAATAGTGAATGGGATATGGCTTATATGGGGGGTGTTGTGTTGGGGAAGACCTTTCTGAGGGGGTAACTTGAAGTCGAAAGTTTGGGGGAGGCAGTTGGAGGGGATGATGAGGAAATAGAAGTTTGTCAGTGTGGGCCTCTTATGTCTCAGGGGAACCTTGACCATGGAACAGTTTGTGGCTCTTCTAAGTTTAAATGAACATGTGAGTTAGCAGCGTTGCAATGTAAAAACCTAGTTTTTGCTAAGTTCTCACACTCAACTTGTAAATCTTGATTTTTTTAAGTCTAAGCACTTTAATTCACACTCAATCTACCAAACATCCTTAAACAAACATTCCTCTTTATAAACTCAGTTAATTAAATTTCCTAAAATATTTGATTTGCATTAATTAATGGGATACATTAAATTATCTTTTCAAATACTTCACATTCCTGACAGTACAAATTTGCAATTCTAATAAGCCCTCTCTTAAGTCTTTGCGTGATCCTGGAAATCTAATAAATCCAACTCCAATGTGAGAAATCAAATTTCCTTAACACTACAAATATCATTTGGGAAATAAGTTCTCTTCATTTCAAGTAACACATTTGAAATAATAATGCATGTTAAATCGGGGCAAAGGCTAACATAGTAGATTTGCTGAAAACTACAGGTACTTTAAAACATATTGATGGTCCTGAACTTTACAGAAGGATGGGTTTAGTGACCTCAGTGTCTCTGCCCCGGGCCCTTGAACCTCTCAGGGCTGGGAAGTCACAGACTAATGGAAGTAGGTTCATGTTCTCAGATCTAATCAAGGTTCCAGGCAAAATGTTCAAGATGGTGTTATTGCTTACTGAGCCTTAGGTGAACGTGCTGAATTAAAAAAAAAAAAAAGAAAAAAGACAGTAAAGCCCATCTGACTCAGTCAGTATTGTGTAGGCTAAGAGCTACAGACGTAGCCATTAAAAACCGACACCTAAAGACTCTTCCAGCGCTTACCATATGGTGTAAATGGCTGAGATGTTAAAATACTGTGCTCCCAACCTTCCCTAACTTGTATTCCTTTGACTTCTTGCCTGCTTGATAAAATTCTGCATTATTTTTAAAAGCTCCAAATGTATGATATACTTACATCTTTGCTTACTGTTCTGAAGTTGTTATAACAGTGTATGTATATGGATAGATTTTAATTATATTTAAGCAGAATTAACATATTTACTTATACTGTTCATTATTATAATAAATGCATTCATAAACAAAAACATTCACACCAATCCAGGAGCAGTGAAATAGTATTATTGGAAAAAAAATACAACTTGCGTTAGTTGTTCCCTTTTTGAGTATTGTGCAGTTCTGACTTCTTACAGATTCAGCTCATTTTAGTGAGCTATTATTATTTTTGTCTACTCTCAGTATACAGACTTTGCAACTTGGCCAGCTGTGAGACCAACCTGTTCAAACTGGCTCTGTGTTTCTAACACTGCTGCAGTGATATTGAGAAGACTCCTTTCTATGCCAACTCATCTTGGAATTCTTTTCTCCTATATTACCACTCATTGCAAAGTGCTGATTGATGTTCACAGTTTAACATTATATAAGAGGGGCCCAGCACGATGGCGCAGTGGCTAAGGTCCTCGCCTTGCATGCCTGGGATCCCATATGGGCACCGGTTCTAATCCTGGCGGCCCGCTTTCCATCCAGCTCCCTGCCTGTGGCCTGGGAAAGCAGCAGAGGACGGCCCAAAGCTTTGGGACCCTGCACCCGCGTGGGAGACCCAGAAGAGGCTCCTGGCTTTGGATCGGCATAGCATCGGCCGTTGTGCTCCTTTGGGGAGTGAATCATTGGACGGAAGATCTTCCTCTCTGTCTTTCCTCTCTGTATATCTGCCTTTCCAATAAAATTTTAAAAATATAAAAAAAAACATTATATGAGAGGATCTTCATAAAGTTCATGACAAATGAGCATTATAGAAAGACCAGGCATGGATTTCAAATCTTCTTTTTGGACTGACATAAACTGCTGCTGCTTGTAAGTGTTTTTGAAGAGGATCCAGTTTGAGGCACTAAAAGAATAAGACAAAAATCTGAAAAGACCCTATCTGAGTAGCAGGAATTGTCACATTGAACCACCACCAAACTGATGGGGAAGACATGGTGAAATCATGGATGTTTTACAAAAATCTTATGAGGACATTGGCCCTCCCTCCCAAATCAGCATTTTACAAATGGCTAACATAAAAAAGAATAAGGGGCCTGGCTTTGTGGTGTTATGGGTAAGGCTCCTGGCTGCAATGCTAGACTCCAATGAAGATGTCCCAGGTGGTTGGGCCCCTGCCACGCATGTAGGGGACCTGGATGGATTTCCAGGTCCTTGACTTCAGCCTGGCCAAGCTGGAACCATTGCAGCTATTTGGGGAGTAAACCAAATCTCATTCATTCTCTCTTCCTGTCTTTTTCTTCTCTCTCTCTGTCTCTCTCTTTTTTTTCCCTCTGTCTCTCTGCAACATTGCCTTTTTAGCAATGAATCTTATAAAAAGAGTCAAGATGATGTTGAAGGTCAGTTTGTCAAGAACCAAGTCTTCTCCATTCTCTAATTGAAGAGAACTGACGATGAACAGCAGGGCATACACAGCCAAGGGCATCTCCCTGGACTCAGCCCACAGCTCTCATTGCAGAATCAAAGGCCGCACGCAGCCTGCCTGATGGCTGCCAAGGCAGCTGCGCTCAGCTCACCTGCAACAAGAGGAAGCATTCAGTGAGAAAGTTGGACAAAGAGGGATCAAGAATGATGCAGGAAATGAAGCAGGGCTTACCACGATGACCTGGAAGACCCAGAGGAACCAAAGCAATTACCACCAAGGAGAGGAAGGGGCCCAGGTTGACCGGGAGCAAAACTCCAAGCATCGACTGGGACATTTTGCCTGCTGACTTTTAGGAGGATCAGCACGCAAACACATTCATTTTTTTTTTTTTTTGACAGTGTTTAGGAGCATCAGCCAATGTTTTGGCAGAGTCCATGGCCAGAGAACAGCACCAGAATGGCCACCACAGCAAGACTGCTGTTCCTCCCTCTCATCAAACCAGGGTGATGGTATAACAGTTTTAGGGGAAATCATGAGGCATTGTCCATCTAGCCCTTATTCAACTTCTTCCAACTTTTTGTTCCCCAGTTTAAAACAATGGCCCATGTTTCTTCTGTTAATAATGTGAAAAATACTCTACTGACATTTTTAAGTTCCCAAGAACCTCAACTGTTTTAGAAGTGAACCAAATGGCTGGCAGCATCATCTCTGAAAGTGTCTTGAAGTGGATAGAGCTCATATTGAGAAATAAAGCTGCCATATTTTTTTCTTTTAATTCCATTTTCCATGAGTGTTTTGAGGTCCTGTCATAGTTATTCCTGCTCCCCAAACAGTGGTGAGTGATTAGTAATCAAATTACTTTGTTTAGAAACATCTGTAATAATTCTGTATTCTCTGTGGTCCATTTTTTTTTTTAAATTAAAGTTCATTTTCAGTTTGAGGGCTTAAGAAGTTTAGATACCAGACTGCTTTCGTTTAGTGACCTCTTTTGACTCCTGGGTGTTAGGGGAAGTACACGTGTCGAGGTGGGTTACTTCCTTAAGTGAAATGCGGGTGTTTTCAGTAAGCCACCATCTGGCCACCCGCAGTGACAGAAGGTGCAGTTATGTGTGTGTTTCCTTTCACTGTCCACAAAAACAGCATTTCTGGTAATAATGGATTACATTTTAAATCTTTAAAAAAAAGTCTTGTTTTGAGCAAACATTTTCCAATTTTGTGTGTTTGTGTTTTGGGGGGGTGCCATTTTCTTGTCTTTTTCCTGTACAATATTTGTTTACTGACAATGTATTGCTGTATCAAACTCACTAAATAGTATTTGATTTGTTTACTATGTGGGTGATTCTGATGTTCTAAGGTCATTTCATGACATGTGCAGAGGAATCAGTTTGGTTGTAGACAGAAAATGGGTTGTTGAATCTGAAGATGGGAGCTAGCCAAATGTGGCCAAGTGTGGAGAGAGGGTAGGGTGAGAGTAGAGAGAGGGCAGAGGAGGTTGTTGAAGCACCGTTATATGCTGGGTGTTCCATGTACCCTGCTAACTGATTCTTTTACTCTAACTCGATTGCTAGGCAGTGTATCTAGAAACGCTACATGTGGAAGAGCCAATTTTAGTTTAGCAAAGGTTAACATGGCGCATGTAAAAGCCTGTACATAAAGAAGCCCAAAGAGGAAACCAACAGCAGTTTTGTGGTTTGCTTTCCAAAGCTCAGTATATGTTAATATGGTGACTTTTGCACCATATGCCTTGCATAGAATTTTACAGCACATTTAGTAGCCCAAAACTGCATTCTAAATATGTTGAATTGAGATGTGATGCCATCTACTAGATATTGGTTTAAATTTAATCAGTTGTCACAAAATAGTACATTGTTGCATATTTGAATCCAAAAATAATTACTTACTTTCTAAAATCAGTTCTGAAGTACATCCTGGAAAGTGAAGGAAATGGAACAGGTGTTTGCTCTGAAAAAGGGTTAACAATCGTGTTTATGGCTTTGACAGGTGGTACCACAGAAACATTACCAGAAATCAGGCAGAGCGTCTGTTGAGACAAGAGGTAAGTCACTGTGCTTATAAATAGTCAGTGAATCTTCGCAGTTTCTGAGCGAGAAGTACATATGAAGGAGTTGAATCCACTAAAAAGGTAGATTGCTTCCTGTTCTCTCTGATCCTAAAATGCCATTTGAACTTAATTGCTGTTGAACACATTCTGGGTAGTTATAAACCAGACCTCTTTGTATGAAACCATGTATTCTGCTCTCTTTCATCGTAGTTTCAGAAGTGATGCTTCTCTTGAAATGAGTTTTAGTCCTGACCTAATGAGATTTTGTCACTCACTGCAAAGTGCCTTTTTCCAGGAAACCTGCATTTGGGCTGTCCATATACCCTATGCTTCACAGATCCCAAATCTATACCCTGTCCTCTACTTGGCCCATATTCAGTAAGCACTCAAATGCAGGGAAATTTATGGTACTGTAATTCTTTGTTCTTTGAGAATGAAGGGGAGAGCCAGGTGGTCAAAATAGCAAACTCAGATCAAAACTGCTCATTTAGGTCAAACCAAAACAGAAATGCATATAGTTTAAATTTCCACCTGTCAGGAAGCATATATGGAGGTGGAGGTAGAGTCAAAACGAGAAGCTAGGTAAGAGGTATCACATTATGACATACTTCTCTCGGATGTTGAGGAAATCTGGAAATGTGAATGACAAAGAATCAGTTCCCTAACTCTGAGCTCTTTCTTTCATCTTATGATTTTTAATTAACAGACAGATAAAAAGTGTAGGCATTTACGGGGTTCTGTATGATGTTTCCATGAAGACCTGCTTCAAGCAAGGAAGTAGACGTGGTGGGGGAGGGAGGAATCAAGGCAGCTCCGGAATGGGAATGGAGGCTGGACAGGGAGACCTGTGCTTGCTGGGAGGTCATTTGAGAGTGGCAACAAAGGTAGTATCTGCTCTGCCTGTCCACAGCAGGCAATCTGTGTGTTGTGCGGCTGGCAGGTCTAACACTGAAGGTCAAGGTGGTCTGGCCAGCAGGCAGCATCAGAGCATCAGAGGAAGTTGAGAAGAAGTCTGCCGTGAGCAATCTTCCCGGTCCTGTGGCCTACCTTCTTGGACTGTGCTCATTCAGTTTCAGAGATTCTTCATCTGAAATGGAGTTTCATCTTCTTGCAGACACTGAAACTGGAAATGACACAGCCAACCCACACATGCAGGCAACCCTGATACAAACAGGGACTCAAATCTACTCACAACAGCTTGGAGAGAAGTAGCATTTCAGCCACCACACTGGTAGCCCACCCCTCATTTTTTTCACTGTCTCCCACTCCCCAGAGGCAACCTCCATATGAGAATGGGTCTCCATTTTATCAGAGTGGATACAACCTATAGTGTTGTTTGGAGTGTTTTTAACCACTCTACATAAGGAGGTTATATGTGCATGTATGTTGACTTTTTATCAAACATTTAAAGAAATCTGCCCTGTAGGTAGATATAGATCAGGTGCATCATTTCACTAGATTCCATATGAGTGAAAATGAATTCAATGTTGAAAAACGTTTAAAGCATTCCTTACAAACAGTGCTGCAATGGACATTCTTGGTCACAGTTTGTTAGAGATCTAGCATTAGTGATATTTTTAATGGCTCAAGGAAATTGTTCTCATGCACTATGATTAGGAGGTAGTTCCCTATTCTTGCCAATGGCTGTTTCACATTTTTCGTCTCAATTCATTGGGTGAGGGTTTGTATTGGTTTGTCAATACAGAACTTTCCCAGTTTCTTTTGGTCATTTGGGAATGTCCTGAGCTCATTTTTCTTAACCCATGCAGCCACAATGCCTGCCCTTGTATATTTTGCCTTCATGCATTTCCTTTTTCATTTTTTTTTTTTAGTATAATTGCAGGATAAATCTCCCTTGCCCCAGGTACAAATTCTGGGTTACAAGGAGTATCCATTACTAATTTTCATCACTAATCCATTGCTTTCTGTTGGAGTTGTATCAACTTACCTACCAGCCCCGAACATAGGGGGTTTTGTTTCCCTGCAGCACTTGCTAGGAAACACCTGGGTCTCTTCTTCCCAATACCTCAGCTCAGTGGGGGCTTCATTCAGTTACTTTCACCCTTGGAATCTGAGATATTTTTAATATGTTACATTTTGGGCCCGGCGCGGTGGCGCAAGTGGTTAAAGGTCCTCGCCTTGCACGCCCGGGATCCCATATGGGCGCCGGTTCTAATCCCGGCAGCCCCGCTTCCCTTCCAGCTCCCTGCCTGTGGCCTGGGAAAGCAGCAGAGGACAGCCCAAAGCTTTGGGAACCTGCACCCGCGTGGGAGACCCAGAAGAGGCTCCTGGCTTCGGATCGGCATAGTATCGGCCCGTTGCGCTCACTTGGGGAGTGAATCATCGGACGGAAGATCTTCCTCTCTGTCTCTCCTCTCTGTATATCCGCCTTTCCAATGAAAAAAATAATAAAAAAATAAATCTTTAATATGTTACATTTTACATATTTGTATTTTCTGTGACCAGTCTGTTCATATGCTCTGCATTTTGTTTTTATTTTTTGGCAGGATTTTTAGATTCTCTATCTATTTACAAAAGAATTTCCCTGATTCTTGCCTACTTCAATGTCTTTGTTTTGTACATTTTTATCTTTGATTCATTTATAATTTCTCTTGATGATAAACAAGGAGATGTGGATTTAACTATGTTTGTTTTTATTTTCCTGGAAAATTTCCAAGTATCCATCTTTTATTTATTGGTTAAAAAATCTCATTTTTATTATAAAAAATTCCTGTTTTGGACTGTACCCAGCTTTCTGTTTGGTTGCATTGGTCAGCCTACCTATTTGTGAACTGCCCTCTTTTAACTACTGAGACTTTATCTTATTGGATCAGCCTTCCTCATTAGGCTTCCTTTTCCATAAATTGTGAATATATTTTTTGTCCATATGAACTTGAGAATCCTCTTATCTATGAAAAACAGATAGACACCTTTCCTGTTGGCTTCATTGACTGTGCAGGTTTATCTAGGGAGCATTACCAGGTACTACAAATCACCGAGATCTGAAGACTGATTTGTTCTACACTCTGCATGTCAGTCATTCATCTAGGAAAATGACTGAAATGAGATTCCCTGCCTGAAGTAAAAATAATCTCAGGTGGATTAAAAACCTAGTGAGAAAAATGAGCACTTTTGTTAGTAGGATATCCGTGGTTGACGGCAATTAATTGTTTATAAATAAAAGCTACTTCAAAATAGCTTTTAGGGAGGATGTTGATTATACCAAATAGAAAGAAATGATGAATGCTTGAAGTGATGGATATGCCAGTTACCCTGAGCTGATGATTACATGGTGTTACAGGTGATGAAATATCACTATATGCATAAATATGTGTAGTTATATGTCAATCATAAAATATTCTGTATATTTAATGCTTTTTATTGTAAGAATAGACTGTCACAGTAAAGTGGTACAGCTTTTGTTTTCATCACCAGGATATAGGTTTGTCTTTCTAAGGTATACGCTGGTACAATGTATGAATTATTTTGCAGGCTAAAGAAGGTGCCTTTATTGTCAGAGACTCAAGACATTTGGGATCTTACACGATTTCTGTATTTATAAAAGCCAGAAGGTAAGCAACTGTGATTTTGGGTTACTTTAGACATTTCTTCTACTTCTTTTTAAAAAAGATTTATTTAGGGCCCGCACGGTGGCCTAGCGGCTCAAGTCCTCGCCTTGAATGCCCTGGGATCCCATATAGGCGCCGGTTCTAATCCTGGAAGCTCCACTTCCCATCTAGCTCCCTGTTTGTGGCCTGCGAAAGCAGTCGAGGACGGCCCAAAGCCTTGGGATCCTGCACCCGTGTGGGAAACCCGAAAAAGGTTTCTGGTTCCCGGCTTTGGATTGGCACAGCACCGGCCGTTGCGCTCGCTTGGGGAGTGAATCATCGGATGGAGGATCTTCCTTTCTGTCTCTGCTCCTCTCTGTATATCTGACTTTGTAATAAAATGGATAAATATTTAAAAAAAAAAGATTTATTTAGTGTAAAACTCAGGGTTAGTGAGAGAGAGAAAAGTGTGAGAGAAAACTCTCCCATCTGCCGCCTCGCTCACCAGGTGACGGCAGTGACCAGGAGCCTGACATTCCCTACATGGGTGCAGAGGCCAAGGCACTTGCACCATCCTCCACTGCTTTCCCAGGCATGTTAGCAGGGAGCTGGATCAGAAGTGGAGCTGGGACTGAACCAGCATAAATAGGAGACTGTGGCTTCACAGGTGACAACTTTGCCAGCTGCCTCATTGTCTCTCCTGTCTAATTCTGCCTTTGAAAACAAGCATATATGTTAAAAAGGAATGATCTCTCTGCATTCTTTTTCTTTTCTTTCTTTTTTTTTTTATGGAAATAATGTCACACAGAGAGCAGGAGAGTCTTAGAGCCTTAGACGGGGAGCTGATTGCTGGCCTAGGGAAGTTAGAGCATTGGGCAGTTCACAGGACATCTGTAGCATGCTTTGTGTGACAATGGATAAGCTACTTCATCTCTCCTATGCCCCCTTTCTCCACTGTCAACTGAATGGGTTAGATTGGCCATAGGAGACACTGTGGGTGCTTTGCTTGGATTCCTTAGGACCCTCATGGTGGTGGGCTACAGTGAGGTCTCCCGTCCTCAGAGAGCTCCCTGGGCTTTTCCGAGTGGATGTGCTGCTGTGGGAGCTTGCAGGGACCTAACAGGGCTGAGCAGGAAATCCCTGGGAAATCACATGGCTGGCGCAGCATTCTTTAGGCAAGGCATGAGGGTTGGGGCATTGGTAACTCAACCTCTTCAGACTTTGGGGGTGTAGTTTTGAGGTGCTGATGGGTGCTTCCCTAGGTTCCTAATGGTGTTGAGCCCTAGACCCCCATGGCAAGAATATGCTCACTCTTGCATCTTATGTTAGTTTTTCCTCTTGTTCCCATTTCCCAGCCTTCACTTGTTTCATCAATAGTTGACATTAAGTAAATATTTCTAAATGTCCATTAAGAGGTAAACTTTTGGGGGATACCATATTGTTGCCTGGATAAGTTTGGCTGAAATTACATTTGGAGTTGAAGCCGCACACTGAGATAGTGGAGGAAGTTTTAATGAGATAGCAAGGCTTGGTCAGCTGGAATCCATCCATCTCTTCAGTATGTGGTGGTGGAGATTGGGTTTCAAAGGGAGGGCCGATGGCTTCAGGAATGCACTGAATTGCTAAGGAGAACTTGGACTTGCCTACTAAATCACATCTCATTGATTGTAGAAGCACCATGGAAGCTACGATAAAACATTATCAGATTAAAAGGAATGACTCAGGACACTGGTATGTGGCCGAGAGACACCTCTTCCAATCCATTCCTGAGTTGATTTGGTACCACCAACACAATGCAGCTGGTGAGTGATGTGTTTTGCGGCTAGGGTGCAGGTGAGCTGGGCCAGCACAGGCAAACCACATGCCCTACAGCCCTATGGGAATGAACTGCCCTGAGACAGCACATAGTACATAAAATACAGTCTGTTTTCTGAGCAGTGTCCTCTTCATTTATGCTTCTTTACTTTCCCATTCAGGAGGCAGAACTGGGTTGAGTTTTGACTTTTTTCTGCCAGCTCAGAAAAATGATAGGTGTCAGAGAAGTCAGAGACCATCTGGTCATGCTACGTTTGTTAGTGACTTACATGGGTCACAGTGGCCTGGAATCTGAAGCAATGGTGCAGCCTTCTCTCAGTTCTCTGCTTCAGGCAGTCACACTAGAAAACTGCCTCCCGGTCTTCATCTGTCCTTCTTTGCTTGGAGGATGGGAAAAAGCTACCCAGAACGCAACTTTTCACATCTATAGTTTGGCCTTACATCCACCTGAGGCAGTTCCTTCTCCAGCTGTTGTTTATAAGAATTGCTCTTTGTGCCCACCTGTCCTCTGCAGAACCTTTCAGGATTCCCACAAGGTCCACAATAATTGCATCCACACCTCTGGTCTGCTACCCTCACCTAACCTGAGTCCCTGGGGGAGACTTCCACAATCCTGGTGACCTGTTGTAACTTTGTCATTGTTGTTTTAACTTCTTGTCATGCAGTAGTTTCTTTTAGATTTCTTTCTTGCAAAATTGTGTTGATCTGTCTTCTGGGAAGAGGCTACTGGCTGCACTGTTCTAGTATAAGGCAGAATTCCAAAGGAATTTCTAGCCACTTACATGGATATTCCCAATAGTCACTGGGAGTTTGGAGAGGGAGGGACAAGAGAGGCTGGCTAGAAAGCTCTGCTTAGGAGGTTAGTTCTGTTTTCTCCTTTAGCCCTTCTGTCCCTTCCATCAAAGATAAAATTCAAGACACAGTTGTCATAGGGTGAGGAAAAACGAGTAAGGAGGGGGATTGGCATGTGCCAACAGCAAAAGGCATGAAGGAGACGGTGTCAGGTCAAGCAGGACTGCAGACAAGTCTGTTGGAGTCACAGTCCCATTTGTGGAAAACAGCAACAGCTGCAACTTGCACTTGTGTGCATATGGAGAAGCTCTGCCAAAGTTTCGGGACCAATTTTTAAGTGAATAAAGTTACAGCAGACCAGGCACTGTTAGTGTTCATCTCTGTGGATCAAGACTGGGATGAAGCAACACTGTAGAGTGTGGTTTTTTTTTTTTTCATGAGAATGCCCACAGATTATCCTTATTAACATGTTGAGTATCATAAAGATAATTTAAAAAATAAAATACTGGGTCAATGAACAATAAATTAAAAAACAGAAGTTGGAATATGGAACCGTGATGACTGTTTTATTAGAAAAAAAGCTCAAAATAAACAAGATGGGCCCGAGTAGTTCAACAGGCTAATCCTCTACCTGCAATGTCAGCATCCCAAATGGGCACTGATTCCTGTCCTGACTGCTCCACTTCTGCTCCAATTCCCTGCTGGTTGCCTGAGAAAGCTGTAGAGGATGGCCCAAAGCCTTGGGACCCTACACCCACATGAGAGACCAGGAAGAAACTCCTTGTTCCTAGCTTTGGTTTATCTCAGCTCTGGACATTGTGGCCATTTGGACAGCAAGCCAGTGGAAGGAAGAACATTTTTTATCTCTCCTTCTTTCTGTAAATCTGCCCTTCAAATATGAATAAATAAATCTTTAAAAAAAGGAAAAGAAAGAAGAAAAGAAGAATGGAGAGTGACAGGAGAGAAGGCAAGGAGTCAGAAAGAACTGATTAATCTATTAAGAATTAATCTGGGTCAACCGTACTGTGAGCGATTTTGTGTATATTTATTCAGTCTCCAGTGCAGTGTCCTGCAGTAGAAGCTGTTCATCTAATAGATGATGAAACGGAGGCACAGCTTGTGGGGTAGTGTGCTCATGCTGCTGGTAGGTCTCTGTGCCACAATGTAGGCCACAGGAATCCAAGCCCCCCGAACTTCCTGTCTCTTCATGTCTGCGCAGCCATGCTGCATCCCTCAGGCCCAGGCTGCTCCCATCATGTAAGGGTATGTTGGAAGATCCGGTTTGAAGATGAGACTGACTGGGAATACTGACCATCCTTCCTCCCTGGTCCTTTGAGCCCATGGTGATCCACTGCCTTCCCTGAACAAGAAGCAGTGTCAGGAAGGACAGATTGCATCCTGCCACAGAGCCACAGGCCAGCAAGCCATCAGCAACACATCCTGGAGAAAAACCTTGGGCAAATAACAACGTTAAAGCTGAAAAAGGAGTGAGTTTTGGCACAGTGGTGAAGCTGTGCCTTGGATGCATGCATCCCATGTCAGGGTGCCTGGCTTTGAGTCTCTGCTCTGCTTCTGCTTCTGGTTGGCTGCTAACGAGCAAACGGGAGGCAGGTGATGGTTTAGGGACTTGGGTCCCTACCATCCATGTGAGCCATTGGGTTGGGCTCTGGGTTCCTGGCTACAGCTGGTGTTTGGGAGTGAGACAGTGGGCAGAAGATCTCCATTTCTGTTTCTGTCTCCCTCTTGGTTCCTCAGCTTTTCAAAAAATAAAACACAAAAATAGGCATTGAGGTTACCTAGATGCTTCTGTTTTCCTTCAGTACCTAACAATTCTGTAAATTTGGACCCATGATCTGGAACCATAAGTCTGTCAATTTCATAACATAATGTATGTCCCTGAGATCCTACCCTCCTACCTGTTACCACTGTCTTACCACTTGGACAACTTCGAGTGTCTTCACAGCTCTCCTTTCCTCCACCTCTGTGCTAGTGCCAGAGTGATCCATCAGAAAGGCAAATAGGACTGTGCCATTCCTTGATTGGGATCCTTTGATGACTCTGGGTCCCCAGCGGGAAGATGGAATGCTCCCCAGCATAGCTTCCGGGGTCCATAGGCACCAGCACACTTATTGACATTCAGTTATACTTTCTCATCTCTGCCTTCCTGCCGATTTCTGCTCAAGCCCCTGGCATCACACTTTCTGCCTTGTGGTGTCCTTTGCTGCCTCTGCCTGGAATGTACTCCTCTGGGTTCCCTCATGGGATGTCTGCACCTGTCAGATGCATGGCTGCTGTCATTCCCTTCCAGAGGCCTTCTTTGAGTCCAGCAGTGTGCTGCTGGGTGCTCTTTCTCAGTGTCCCAGAACATCTGGCACATGTCTTCAGCACCTCATCTATTCCCTTTCTATCAAAATGGCCTCTGTCCAGCAGTTTTCCTTAAGATCAAACTCTCTGTAGTCAGAGTCCTTGTCTAGCCAATCCTTGGATCTGCTGAAATCTTTGGGATTTACTTGGAGGAACATCCTACACACAGTAGGCACATACGATGTGCTTCTCAGCTTTGCACCTGCTGTTCTTTCTTCCCAGAGGAATCATCCTCTTGGTCCTTGTGGGATGGCCACCTGCCAATCATCTGCAGCATGACTGTCTTCTCATCAAAAGGCCTGTTTATAAGTGATCATTTGAGAGGTCCTACAAATGTTATGTTTAAGAATGTATATTTTAGAATTGTGAAATCTTGGAAATAGCCTTAGACTCAAATTATAGTCTCTAATATAGGTCATTGACATGCGTCATGTCAAAAGCTTACATGGAACAGGTGGGTTTTTGTAAGATGTGTTGGATGCTTTCCATCAGACCTGCAGAGATTTTTCTGAAAGTGTTCACCCAGTTGATAACAGTGTGTAAGGAAAGTCTTCAGTAAATTTTTGGAAAATGTGTAGTATAAAAAATCCTGTGTATGGATTTCATTTTTTTTTCCTACCAAAGTAAACTTTTCTTTTAATGCTGCTTCTCACATATTGTTGAAATGCCCTCATGTCTCTGGATATTAAGATTTTACAAAAGATGTTTTGGCCCTCTCTGTTCTTTCTTAGAGTCTTTAACTTGAGCCAATATTATTTTACAAATAATGGTTTTCCAATGGGAAAAAATGAGCAAAAGCTGTCTTGTAACATAAATGCCCAATTATTGAAAGGCTGATACTAGCTTCTAGGATGTATGTTGGTTCCTCCCACATTACAAGCTAACTTTGAAATGCTGGTTTGTCCTTCTGCCTAGGACTCATGACGCGTCTTCGCTCTCCAGTTGGATTGATGGGCAACAGTTTTCCAGCCACTGCTGGTTTTAGCTATGGTAAGGTGTTCACCCTCACTGAGGAAAACGTCTAATGCAGAGGCACATCTGCCCAGGTTCCCTAAGGGTTCTTACGTTTTCAGGCTCTCTGAAAGGTCTGTCTCTAGGTACGTTTCTTTTCCAAGTTTGAAACCTTCTTCTCTTGTGCTTAAACATCTCACAAGGTACCACTTAAAGTGTGGGGAGAAATATTACAGTTTTATTTCAAATTTCACTATATATCTATATCTATATTAACTCTTGATAAATTACAAGTCTTTTTATTTGTATGTTTGAGATGTCACTTTCTGGTCACAGTGGTGGCTGGGAGAATCTGCTGAAAAGATCTGCTAAAGGTTCATCTTCACTTTCTTTAAGAAAAATCAGCTTGCATGATTGTTTCATTTGAACTACTTTCTATGCAAATGTGTTTTTGCAATCTGTGGGGAAAAAACGAGCCTATTTTCTAATTTGGTGACGTATTAGTTGCTTAGATTGCTCTCATTAGTGGGACCCAAAATATACTGAAGGAAAATAATAACTCAATTTTATTGGGTGACATATGACTAAGATTAAAAAAAAAAAACCTCTCATTAGGTTACATGATTTCATGATATAGTGGTATGTAAATTATTCTTTTGTCTCGTAAGTTCTATACATAATGGAAAGTTCACCATTAGCAATTTAGTTAAGTTGCACATGGTGCTCCTTGATGTGTTAAAATAGACTTAGCAGGGTTTTTAAAAAAGATTTATTTTTACTTGAAAGGGAGATCTATAGTTTATCTATGAGAATCTATTGTTCACCTGTATATCTGTTTTGTATTTTGCATGAATGTTTCCTTATATCAGGAAAACATGATGTTTGTCCTTTGGGGACTGGCTTATTACACTTGCCTGGTAAGGGAGATACTGTGACTATGTTAGCTTTTAAATACTTGGCACCTTTGCTCTGCGTTGCTATCAGTTTATAGTTGTTTAAACTGTATTCTGTAAATGTTCCAGCAGATGGCACCCTCACTATAGAAAAAAGGAGATGCTTATCAGTTAAGATTTGATTCTTTGAGTTTCCAAGAGGGTTATTTTAAAAACTGTTCTTTTCCCCTGATTTGCTTCTTTAGAGTGAGTAATCTATGGAATAAGTTTCACTTCAAATTTCCCTTTGAGTATATGTTAGAATTCTAACCTTGTACATGTTTTTAGATGAATCGATCACTTTTCCCTAAGGAGAGGTAGCATTAACGCGGAAAAACCTTTAGGATTAGAATAGAAGGAATCCATATCAAGAGAAGGGAGTATCATGGATTTGCTCGCTAGGACAAAAACAGATTGGGGACATATCATATAGATTTTGGGCTCCAGGCCTACCCAGAGTTTTGGTAGATTTAGTTGAGGGCCTCATCATGGATGTCTATGAGAAGAGAGCATGTTCTGTTATTCATAATTGGTTGGTTGTTTTCCTCCATGTAAGGAAAGCTTGTGTTTTAAAACTTGAATTCCTGAATTACACAATTAAGCTACAAACTGAGTATTCAAAATAAGACAAATCCTCTCCAACTCTATAAACATGTTTAACTCCTATGTTAAACGAGGGTATCCAAGTCCCAAGTTTCTTTTTTCCAGCTCTAAAAATTTTAACATTCTTTTCTTACTTATCATGTGGATATTTTGCTTTTCCAGAAAAGTGGGAGATAGATCCATCTGAATTGGCATTCGTCAAGAAGATCGGAAGTGGTCAGTTTGGGGTGGTCTATTTAGGGGAATGGCGTGCGCATTTCCAGGTGGCCATCAAGGCCATCAACGAAGGCTCCATGTCAGAGGACGATTTCATTGAAGAGGCGAAAGTCATGATGTGAGTATAAGCAACACCCAGGTGTGCTTCTGGGGCATGCTGGTGGATGGGAAAACCGTGGACTGCACAGCCAGCCACACCTGGATTGGTGTCATAACTGCCCCAGCCGGTGAGCTCCTCCAGGCTGACCATCGGGCTTCTGTGTGATCTGGGCAAGGTGTTTCACACCGCCAAGGCTCACTTTCCTCTCTGTAAAAACGGGGCTGTCAGCACCTACCTCACTAGGTCAGTGTGTGTGGTGAGACATCTACGAACATGACAAGGGAATAATAGGTATCTCATATGGAATCTTTAATTTTTTCCCTTTGCCCAGTTGCAAAGCGTTGGTTTTGTCCAGGTGGTGATCACCAGTGTCTGGCTCATTATTTGAAGGGGTCATTCCCTGTAACTATAAGTTCATGTTTTTTGAAGAACATAGCATTTGCTTTCAAAGCATGTAGAAATCCAGAGTTTTCAAAGTGGCTTCTTGCAGATCCCTGCACACTGTCCTTCTGTAATTTTTCTGGGATCATATTTTGACTCTAGACCCATAACTGTTTTTTATGACTATGATATGGGCTTGAGCAGGATAAGTTAATAATTTGGCATAATTGAAATCATCATTCTTTTTTGAGATTTATTTTAAAAATATTTGTAAGGTAGAATTAGAGAGAGAGGAGAGTCACACAGGAGATAATCCTCCATCTGTTGGCCTGTTCCCCCCACAGGGTCACCACAGCTGGGGCCTGACCAGGTCAAAGCCAGGAGCCTGTAGCTTCCTCCAGGTCCCCCACATGGGTGCAGGGGCCCTAATGATGTGTTTGCATCCTCAGATACCCCAGGCATCCATCTGTCTGGACTTGATTCCCCAGATTACTGCATCTGATCATGACTTTCCTATGTCTAAAGGACAACAATACTATTCCTGTATATTGGGTAAAATCCAACATAGGAAGATAATAATGAGGGGTGATGCAGTGGCATAGCAGGCTAATCTTCCACCTGTGGCGCCAGCATCTAATATGGACACTGGGTCAAATCCTGGCTGCTCCAGTCCCAATTCAGAGCCCTGCTAATGGCCTGGGAAAGCAGAAGATGGTTAAAGATATGGATGCGTGAACCCATGTGGGCGACCTGGAAGAAGTTCCTGGCCCCTGGCTTTGGACTGGCCCAGCTCTGCCCATTGTGGCTGCTTGGTAGCAAACCAGTGAATGGGAGCACACACTCTGTGTATAGCTCTGACTTTCAAGCGAAACAAATAAATCTTCTTAGAAAGTGATCAGAAGACATGTGAGCAGGGAGACTTAGAGGTGTGCCAGAATCCCCGTAAATAGGAAATAAAAATGTCTAATGGCACGGTAAAGGATCCTTGCATGGTTCAAGCCTGATTGGGTGTTTGGAACGAGGGTCTCTGAGTTCCACGGTAAAGGATCCTTGCATGGTTCAAGCCTGATTGGGTGTTTGGAACGAGGGTCTCTGAGTTCATCTGAGGGTGATGGAACATGGGACAAGAAATAGGAACAGTCTTGGTGATTTAGGGAGGCAGCAGTGAGGCCAACTGTTTATTTATATACTTCCAAGGAAATTATTGGAAAGACAGATTTACAGAGAGGAGGAGAGACAAAGAGAAAAATCTTCCATCTGCTAATTTATTCCCCAGATGGTTACAATGACCAGAGCTGAGCTGATCCAAAGCCAGGAGTCAGGAGTATCCTCTGGGTGTTCCATGTGGGTGCAGGGTCCCAAGGCTTTGGGCTGTCTTTGCTTTCCCAGGCCACAAGGGCTGGGAAAAATGGGGCTGTCATTCCTTCTAGGAAGCTAGAAGGAAAGTGGAGCAGCGGGGCCATGAATTAGCACCCTATGGGATTCAGGCATGTTCAAAGCAAAGATTTAACCACCAGGCTATCGTGTTGCCCCTCCCCCTTTATCATATATATAAAGATTCAATTACTTATGTGAAATAGAGGGTGAGAGAGAGGGAGAGAGCACTCCTATCTGTTGATTCACTCCCCTAAAGGCTGCAATTTTCCAGAGTAGGAGAGGGAATAAATGCCAGAGCTGAGCATCATCGCCACAACCGTTAGAATGAGTGCCATCCTTTGTGGTTTTCCAATGGGGAAGAAAACTTCAAGACTTTGCTGTGCTGTCAGGGACTTGGCTGCAGGCTCCCACCTCAGTTGGGAGCATGTGCCCATTGGGCTTCAGAGCACCTGCTAGAAGAACAGGAAACCCATCTCTTTCTCTTAGATGACTGCTGTTCATGAAATCCCATTAAACTTCCAAGTTTTTTCTCTATTTTTACTTTGGCTTATACTTTTCATAGTACGTATACAGCCACAGTTCTGTTTACTACCCCGTGCAAGTGCAGAGGCCACGTTGTATTAGGTCCGTGTCACACACAGGACAGGTGGAGGCTAAAGTGTTCAAGTCAGGTGCTTCAGGTCATGCAGCCAGGGGGCGCTAAAACTACAAGTTGAAATCAGCTCCTATGGATTGAGGTGTGGTGTTTTTTCCTGAAATCATTGCAGCACTGAAGCCTTTACTGCCTTTACTGCCTTTACTGAAGCCTTCTTTTAGTTGTTGAGTGAGGGAGTTGCGGTTTTTGGATGCAACTTTTTCATAGGTGTGAACTGTATGATGATATGAGAACTAAGAATACTTTAAAAACATGTACAGTATATTGAATTTCTCTAAGAATTTTTCCTGCACATTTTCTTTTATTTTGCTTTATTATTTCTACATCATCATATCTTTACAGTTGCATATTTTAGTTTTTGAAATACAAATCTTTAGTATTTTATATTGTATTATGAAGAATTGAATAGAGAGAAAACTGAAAATGCCCTGTGCTTCTCACCTCCCCTTTGTTACGTGTTTATTTTTGAGAGGAAGTGAATAAGTTAATAAGTATCCTACTTGGACCTTTAGTCTTATTATCCAAATAAAAGAATTTTTAGAATTTAAGCTTGATTGAAATACTTAAAATGCTTTCAACAATATTTTAATAGCAAATGAAATATTACTCAAAATATCTTTAAGAGTCAAAACATTTAGAAAACAGAGACAAGGAGAAAATTTACCCATTTCTTCTCCTAAAACCACCACTTACTTTTCTATAAATATTTCTGACTCTTCCATATAAACTTGACTTTGAAAAAATTGAAATTCAAGAAGGTAAATGAACAGAGTTTTGAAATGTGTGGTTGGTAGGAAGGAAAGGAGGACTTCGGAATGAGAGGAAAGGACCATTCTAGGAAGCCCTTTTACCAGGCCTGGCACCTGGTTAGTGCCGAGTAGCTTTGCACTGCTGCGGATTTGAGAACTTAGCAAGGAATGTCAGAATTCCCAATGTGCAGTGGATGGGAAAGATAGATCCTGGCTCTAAATGCCTATATCAAATCATCATAAATGCAAAGTGCATTGTAAATCCTTGCAGCATATCCATGAGTACTTTCTCGGATTAGAAATAGTTGATTTTTTGCAGCAAGGGAGAGAAAACATTTGCAAACTATATATCTGTTAAAGGATTAATATTTAGGGTACAGAAGGAGCTCAGCGCACTCAGCAGCAAAACCAGTAGTTCAGTTAAGAAAAGACATTTTTTCTAAAGAAGAAATACAAGCAACCAACACACACTTGAAAAAAATGCTCAGGATCACTAGCCATCAGGGAAGCACAATGAAGTGTCACCTCGCTCCAGGTAGGATGGTCATTATCCAAATATCAGCAAATGGCAAGTGGTGAATACACTGTTGGTGGGAGTGCAAATAGTTAGAGGCGTAATGGAAAACAATATCGTTACTCCTCAGAGAACCAGAAGTGACTCTACCATATGAACCCACTGGTCGACTCTTGGGAATATATCTAAATTAAAATCAGCATATGAAAAAAAAGGTTGTAACTGGAAGTCATTATGCTAATAATGATAAACCAGTTGTGGAAAGAACATCCTGTTTCCTCTTATTTTATAAAATTAAGATAGAGTATCAGAATCTTGTGGATAAAGTGTTATTTGCCATATAGTTATAAATATTGCTTCATTGAATTATACCATGTGTAATACAATAAGCCCTTTTTCCCCATGATATGATCATTATCATGAAACCCAGATTTTGTGATATTGATATCCCTGTTTTCAAGAAACAATAGAAATCTGTGTAAAATATCTCCAAGATGAATAGCAAAATGCTAAAAATTGTTAAATCTTAAAAGATCATAAAAAAGAATCTCTCTTAAAGGTTTCATAGCATTGCATATAACTTTCTTAAAATGAGACATAATACCAATCTTTTAGTTTTGTTATTTATTCAGCAACTACTGCTGGCTGCTTATGGGCCTGGCAGTGGTCTAAGTCCAGGGAACATGGTCACTCATGAGACAGGTAAGGCTTCTGCTTCAAAATAGCTTACTTAATTGCATGTTGCAGTGAGCAACACAATGGCAGAGTGAGGTAAGGGGAAGACACAGGGGTAGGATGAGGGCTCAATAGATGGGGCAGTCGGCAATGACTGGAAGTATCTTCTCTGGTATGCGTCATGTATGTCCCCCAGGCTTCCCTGTGTGGTAGAACTGTTGGTAATCAACAGAGGTTGGGAGAGTGAATGACAAGTTACTGCAGTCATCCAGGGAAAAAGCCATGGCAGGTACAAGATGGAGAGTCCCCTCAGGGTACACAATGGGGATAAAGTGATCAAGACTTGCAGACAGGTTGCATGTGGTAGGTAGGATGGGCAGAAACTAGGGAGCAGAGATGACGGCAAGGTTTTGGTGTGCACTGCTAGATGAAGCTTTCCCCGTAAACTGAAATGAGTTGTGGAGTCGGGGTACGGGTCAAGAATTCTGCTTCCGGTATGTTGAATACCTACAGGCTGTCAGGCAAGTACAGCTGTATTTGGAGAAAGGCCGAGGTTCAGGCCATTAAGTTAGAGAAATCATCAGACGTGGTAACAAAGACCTTGAAACTTGATATAATTACCTAGGGGAAGAGAATTCATAGAAAAAGGGAAGAGAAGAATATGGCAAAGAGTCAGAAAGCATGTGAATGACAAGTTAAAGACATGGGTATGACATATTTGCCCCTTAATCATATTATATACTTCCTTAAAACTGAGACTTCACGTGTGTTAAGAGACTCTAAAGTTTTTATTGCAAACAAGAGCATAATTTGTTCCTTTGTGTTTTCTGTGTCCATGGGAAATATTTGTCACTTTTTTGATACACTGAATCACACACAGAGGAATTATTTGCTCCCCCCACCATCTCTAATTGGAGTTTGCCTTATTTCTGATAGATTTTTACCAGTGATCATGCTATGAGGAGATCAGATTGGCAGATATTCCTTTTCAAGACTTGCTTGTCTGCCATTGCTTTGCACACAGTTTCTGAAAGTTCACCTTAAGAATGTGAAGGACAAATCAGAAAAAAAAAAGTTTCTCTACTTCATTAACTGGTGTGTTCTTGCAAACTGATTTTATGATAATATATTAACAATTACTCATATATTATGGTTATAAATAATCTTCCTGGAGCTTTGATATGATTTTAACTGTGTGAGTGAAAAGAAGTAACTTTTCAAGGTGCCTTTGACTAATCCAGAATGAATTCATTGTAGATCTTAAAATTACAAATATTAATTTGAATATTGCTCTCCACAGCTACTAGTTGACAAATGAGGTCCCAGAAGAAGCAATACAGTTTTGGATTCTTGATGCCTAAAAACTTCCGGATGTGTTTTAGCAGGCACTGTTGAGGGACTTGCATGTTTGTATGTGCGTGTTGTGTGTGTGTGTGTGTGTGTGTGTGTGTGTGTGAAAGCCAAATGTACACTAAGGTTTCATGCTGGGTTTCATGCTGGGTTTCATGCTGGGTTTCATGCTGGTAAGTGTTTTTAAATCTCTGACTTTATCTAAAGTTTTCCTTTTCAATTGGCTATATCCATTAGCATTTAACTTTTAAGTCTGAGGTGCACCAGTCACGCTTCCCTCCTGATTGTCTCTCCAGAATTTGTTTGAGCAGGTGCAGTTAGGAAGGCTGGGGCTCAAGAAAGAGAAAAGCTGTGCAGTCTGGGCAAGGAGGAGCCCTAAGCAATATGGAAGCCAAAGACCTGCAGAAAGAAAAGGAGGGAAATAGAGGCTGCCAAGCAGCATACTGTCCCTATAATCAGACGCTGTGTCTCTGATGACGCTGGAAGTACTGGTTAAACTCTTGACCCTGTTTTCTCAGGGCATAATGTGGAAAGAAACCTGCTTTATTTTTTTTTCTCTGGTTAGGTTGATTTGATCATATCTTAATAATGAAGCTTATCTAGACATGGCAAATATTACCAGTCGTGTTAAAATGCATAAACAGTTCTGCTCACTGGCATGTGTTTTTCTCCAACAGGAAATTATCCCATTCAAGGTTGGTTCAGCTGTACGGGGTGTGTACGCAGCAGCGTCCCCTTTACATTGTAACTGAGTTTATGGAACATGGCTGCCTGCTGAACTATCTCAGGGAGAGAAAAGGAAATCTTAGGAAGGAAATGCTGCTGAGTGTGTGCCAGGATATTTGTGAAGGGATGGAATATCTGGAGAAAAACTGCTATATTCACAGGGACTTAGTAAGTATGGTACAAACTTCCTTATTACAATCTTAAATAGAGTACACATATTCAGAAGGTCGTAAAATCACTTTTCAATACTTTGAAGAATGCATTTTGGTTTATTTTAAAAATATTTTCATATGCAATTTATTGTGAAATGTAGGTGGAATCAAGGAAAGTTTTACTTGTAATATGCCTTGAAGTAATTCATTAACCGACTGACTGGAACAGGTTTCGTTTACTTTTCTATCTCTCCTCCTGTTCTCTTCCCATCACCTGTGTTCCCTTCCACCAGAACTCATACATGTGCTGTACCCGGCATAAGCCAAACACTTTTCTAGACACTGGAAGTCAACAGTGAAGTTCAAGTACCTGGGACTGAAGCTGCCTGCAGGCAGGGGCAACTTGACCATAATGGTACCCAAAAGCCTAACTGGCTTTGTTTAGAGGACTAGTGATGCCAAACCATTCTATTTTGTAATGCCTGAAACACCTCCGTTTTAAAGAATTGTGTCATTCCAATTGTGGTTTTCCTTGCTGCCTCCCTGTCTTGCTTCCTCCCAAGGGACACTTTCTGTCCATTCCAGATGTCATCATGATACTCACATCTTTTCTTCTGTGCTCTCTATGTCTCTTCTCTAAATCTAAAAGTGAGAATTTGAGAATTTCCCACATGTCCATCTCAGACATGCAGAATGACCAGGTCCTGTCAGGTGGCAATGAGCCTTTTGTCTGTCAGGGATCTTCCTGATGATTTGCCTTAAAGGTTGTTGCTGGTACTTCCTGGTAACTTCCTCACTGGCTCCTCTGGCTTACCATTTCACATTCCTGGATTTTGTTAGTAGTAATAATGGAGCCTCATAACTGAGAAATTCTATCAAAAGTTTCACCGATATAAGGCACAAGGCCTAGTGTGTGTATATATATACACTACGTATATACTTATACACATTTTACTAAGTTGCCAAAAATGGATGGTTTGGGCATCAGATAGATTGTCTAAGCGTTATACTGAACCATGTGTAGTTCACTGGAGTGATTTTAGGAAATGCAAGATGATCACTATAAATAGGCACATTCAAAGAAATGTGTATTATAAAACATTTCTTAATTTTTATTATCAGAAAGCATAAAGATATGAAATGACTAAGCCTTATTTGTTATGTAAATTAGGCTTTCCTCTTTACTTATTAAGATAACTAAACATACACAATTTCTAATGTCAAGATGTAAAGTTGTTGTCCCTTAGAGTAAACCAGTTTTATCAAGAATACTTCTTTAATCTCAACTGAATTTGAACTGTGGTAATGCAACAAGGTGGAAGAATCCACCATGGTGGGGGGTGGGTTTTGGGGAGGGGAGGGGGGAATCCCAGTGCCTATAAAACTGTGTCATATAATGCAATGTAATCAATTAAAAATAGAAAAAGAATACATCTTTAGAGGAAGTAAACATTCTAAAAAGTACAAGTTTTAAAATTTTTTCTAAGTTTTAAAAATCACTTTGAAGACTCATTCAAATCCATTATTTGAGAACAGGGTGTTGAGTCCTATATAGAGTTGATTGGTACCAGCATGAAAGGAACTTGGCTGTTCACACAGAGAAGCAATGTGGCTCCCAAATAAACCAGGAAATGGAGAATAGGAACTCTTGAAGGGAAAAAATTGCATTCAAACTTAGAGGGTTTTTTTTCTTTCTGTAGGCGGCAAGAAATTGTTTGGTCAGTTCTACATGTGTAGTCAAAATTTCGGACTTTGGAATGACAAGGTACACAATATCTGAGTTTTTCTTCTGTTTGCCTGTAGCAGGGGATCTCTCATTTTTTAACTGACAGAGTGAAAGTGCAATGGTTTGGCTGGTTCCGCTAATGCAGGTGTTGGTGTGGTTGCTGGGCCTACTGACCCACCTTGAGTTTTAGGACACACAGTCATTTTAGCTGCAAGGTATGAGTTCATTGTGAACTGTTTCACACGTGTCCTTTCAGGTCATTATGAATACTAACAAAACCATGATACATTTTTAAATTTAAAAATATCATTTCTTGGTTTATTTATGTGTGTGAAGTTAAGGGAATTTTTTTCTAATAAATGTATCCTTTTGAAAGCGAAAGGAATAATTTGACCTTCTCAGCTATGATTTTTGTGTCATTATCAAACAGTTTATTTTTATCCTTTTTAATAATCTAACAGTTTGCATTTGGGGCACACATTTCTTGGTGGTATTAGTAGTTGAGGCCTACTAAGTCCAGGGTTTCTCCCTGATCTTCTACAGCGTCAACCTCTAAGTTTTGTGGATTGCATGGGGCTGCAGTACTGGGAAGGAGGTGGCTGGTCTGGCCCTCGTTATCCACACAGACGCTGACAGTACTCACAGCCACCATCCCAGGGCCAGCCATCCACATGGGTAGCCACGGCTCCATGTTAAATTTCTGTTTGCAAGTTTCTCTAAGAACTGATTAGAAAATCTGCTCTTGTTGCTTCCATTTGCCTAGACACAGTCACAGCCTTTCTTTTTCTGGAATCTTCCTGCCTTTCCTATAGCTCTACCTGAGAGACAGAGAGAGGGTACAGGCCTAGCCGGCATGTGAGTCCCACTCACCTAGCATGAGGGTAGGGGCTTCTCCACCTGCCATGTTTCCTGCACAACCCTTCGAGCCTAAGAAACGGGACCAGCTCAGCCATGCACTGATCACTAATGCTCCTTCTCATTTTCCTTCTACTTTCTCTTCTTCCCAGCTCAAGGCATCATTTTCTAGGTGGATGGTAGATGTGGTGATGGTGGTGGCAAGAAAGATGTATTTATTTTTATTGAAAAGTCAGATATACAGAGAGGAGGAGAGGCAGAAGATCTTCTATCTGATGATTCACTCCCCACAATGGCTAGTGCTGAGCTGATCTGAAGCCAGGAACCAGGAGCCTCTTCTGGGTCTCCCACATGGATGCAGGGTCCCAGGGCTTTGGTCCATCCTCGACTGCTTTCCCAAGTCACTAACAAGGAGCTGGATAGGAAGTGGGGTTGCTGGGACATAAATCAACGCCCATATGGGATCCTGACGTGTGCAAGGCAAGGACTTCAGCCTTTAGGCTACCGCTCCAGGCCCAAGACTGCAATCTTAACCATGATTTATTTTTCCCAAATATTTTGTTAAGAACTCTGTCCTTCTTCTCTGAAGAGTCTAGACTTCAGAAACTCAGTGTCTAGTGAAAATGGCTTACCCCTCCCTTTTTTTCCCTATTGTTTGTTCTTTACCTGAGTAGTAGGAAAGCTAATTTAGTTAGGTGATTAATAGTGGAGTGAGACAGAGTATATGAAGATAAAATGAGAGTAAAGGAGCAGCATTAATAAATAGTTGAAAAATACTATGTTGCATATTCAAGGGACAGAAAATCCGTCACGATCTCTGTAGATTCCTGCACTTGGCTATTCTTCCATCCATTTCTGGAAAGACAGAGAGGTGTTTGCTTTGTTTTTTTTTTTGAGGAGATGGGAGTTGTCCTTCATTTCTTTTCCTATAGATCCATTCTAATCTATTAGAGATTTTTTTTTATCATTAGAGGATTATTTCATATAGTTTTGTTTGCCACATTCTATGTGTGTGTCATAAAAATATTTAAATAAAAGGACAAAAGGTATTCAACTTTGAATTTATTCTTTTCCTCAATCACAACAGTGTTCCTTTTAGTGTTTATCTTGTATTTCCTTCTTATTACCTGGGTTGGTAGAACAGTCAACACACTTCTTCGCAGAGTAAAGAATGCCTCATAACTGACAAGAATGGACCACGGTTTGCATTGAAGAATTGTAATGAGTTTCTGAGGGCCAAGGAAAATAAATACAACTGAGACTCATTTCAGGAAAGGAAATACTATCAGGCACTGTGCTACTAAGAGAAAGCGCACAGAAGCTTTCTGGGCCAAAACACCTTGTTTTTTTTTTTACTAACTCAGAGTTCACGAGGGATTTAGAAAGTACATAGAACTCAGAGGCAGTAAGCGAAATCTGCTTTGAATCCCATGACTGCAGGTACGTTTTGGATGATGAATATATCAGTTCTTCTGGAGCCAAGTTCCCAATCAAGTGGTCTCCACCTGAAGTTTTCCATTTCAACAAGTATAGCAGTAAATCTGATGTCTGGTCATTTGGTGAGTCTATTTGTTGAACTTTGACTTAACAAACAGAATGAGCTTTCATTAAAAAAAATGATTTCTAACACTGTATATTATTAAAAAAAAATCTGACAGCTCTGCTTTTTTTTTTTGTACTAGCCACCTTCACATTGTCCTCGGTAACTGGTATCACTAACCTGTGACACTCCTGCCATTTGAATCTTTCCTTCTCCCAGTTAGCACTTGCTGTAAATCCAGAGTCCACTGACCTAGAAAGCTCAGCCAATTTTTCTATACTACATAGGCTTGAAGGGAAAAAAATGACCTTACAGTGTCATCGAATTTTGGGTATAAGTAATAACCTTCTTTATGTAACTGCTCCACAGCTTGACAATTTTTCAACTATTCAGTTAACAACTGGAACTTTAAAAACCTGATTATCGTAACCTCGTTTGACTTCACAACCTTCAAACTTTGTGATCTTTAGACTAGATCTCCCTTGGGACCTGTCTATTGGATGACATCATTTATAGTGAAAGAAGCACTATAGACTCATGTGCAGAGTAATATATTCTTTGGGTTGATTTTCAAAAAGGCAAAAATATGTCAATGTATCTGTTCTCCCTCATCCAGAATTTCCTGGATGACATTGGGTTGGGGAGACACCTGAGCCCTTGATTGCCCACGATAAGGTGAACACTGATAACATTAGCGCTCCACTGACTGACAGTGGTCTCAACAGATGATATTTTATTTTATTTATTTATTTATTTTTAAAGATTTATTTATTTATTGGAAAGTCAGATATACAGAGAGGAGGAGAGACAGAGAGGAAGATCTTCCATCCGATGATTCACTTCCCAAGTGAGTGCAACGGCTGATGCTATGCCAATCCGAAGCCAGGATCCAGGAACCTCTAGGTATCCCACACGGGTGCAGGTTCCCAAAGCTTTGGGCCGTCCTTAACTGCTTTCCCAGGCTACAAGCAGGGAGCTGGATGGGAAGTGGAGCAGCTGGGATTAGAACCGGCGTCCATATGGGATCCCAGGGTGCATTCAAGGCGAGGACTTTAGCCACTAGGCCATGACACTGGGCCCCAGATGACATTTTAAAAGGCAGTGAAGTTGTGAACTACATCTCAGAGAGCAATGGATAGCACTATTAGCACCTCATTAATTAGCTGTAGAGCTATTAGAATTCCTGGAGTTTTAGTTGACCATTGTCTTTCTAACACACTGAACTGGCTTTGTTCTTACAAAATCCTCTGACCCTAGCATAGGCTTGGCTTCTAATAAGGACTTAATTAATATTTATAGACTGTAAGTGAATATTGGTTTCAAACTGGAAGTTCTTAAAGGAATTTTTCTGCTCAGTCAACAATTATTGCTCAGTAGCTACCACTTGACTGGTAACTCTCAACACTAGCAGGAAGCAGAGGGTCACACACACGTGTCACTTTGTAGGAAAAGGCAGAGAAGAGTCATTGACCTTCATACATGGGCAGTACATAGTAATGCAAAGACTGTCAGCAGTTTCTCCCATTGGGTGCTAGTCAACACCAATGGGGAAAAAAAGCCATTGTTTTTACATGTGTTGTTTTCAACATATAGTCCTCAGGAACCAAGGTGCATACACTGTTTCCTCAATAGAACTGGTCTCATTCTAGGTGTTTGGAACTAAAATGCTGGAGGAGGAAAACAACGCCTTGTGGTTGGGAGGTTTTCCCAGTTCCAAGTAGCTATTTCACTCTGTTGCTGCATATTTCTTTCACAGGGGTTTTAATGTGGGAAGTTTTCACTGAAGGAAAGATGCCTTTTGAAAATAGATCAAATTTGCAAGTTGTGGAAGCCATCTCTAAAGGCTTCAGGCTGTATCGTCCTCACTTGGCACCAATGTCCGTATATGAAGTCATGTACAGCTGCTGGCATGAGGTATGTGTCCCCTGTTCTCCCGTTAGAGGTTGTCAGCCCAGCAGCTCAGGGCAGATCTGACCATCAAATCGTTACCCTAGGATCCTGCTACACAGAAAAGGGGTGTCTAGGATGTGATAATGATGTTGAGAGCCATGGGTACCAATTCTACCCCAGATCCACTTAGTTTTTAGCGTTGGCCTTTCATCTAGGGGATTTAGTGCATTTTCCAGGTCTTCTGTGTTTGAGATTCGTTCTTGCAGAAGCTCATGATGCCGTTAGTGCCTTGGTGATTATGTATCTTGTTACCTCTCAGGACTGGTCAGTGAACACTAAAGGTAGAATCAGGCTGGATACATTTCCCCATTGAAAAAAAGGAGGATGTTTTTATTTACTTTCCTTCCACTTGGCTTGCTTTCCTGAGCCTAAGAATAATCTCTTTTGATGGCACCCAACACCCCTGATACAGATGAAACTGGAATGGGAATGAAGGCAGAAAGTGTTCCAGGAACTTTTGTTCAGGAAATCATCTCTTCTGAGTCCAGGTGCTCTTCATTAAAATGCCAACTTTAAAAATAAGGCCAGAGCGGTTTGTGTCCCTTCTCTGAATTTACTGTGCACGATACAGCCCACAGCCTACCCACTCTTCCTGTTAGACTTCCCTCTGATCAGACAACACCTCTCTTCCCAGCTGATAGATTCAGCCCAGAAAAATCATAGCTTGGTCAGGAATTTCCTCTTGATTGGGGGAAAAAAATCACTTGCTTCTCAATCTCCAAACCCTGGAAAATTAAATATTTAAAGAGTGTCATATTTGTTCACATTTCAGAGAAGTATTAAACTCATAAAACTCCCTTGTTATAAAAACATTTTACATATGACCTGTTCCACAAAGAATCTTTAAAAATATGGGAAAACGCAAAGGAAAGTGTTTGTAGCAGTCAATCACCTTAAGAACCTCTTGGTAACAACAAGTAGGTAACTTAGGGATGTATCTTATGTATGAAACAATATACATGTCCGTGTGTGTGATGGAAGACTGAGATTCTATGTGTGTGTGGAGAGGAGACAAAAGAAGCAGAAGGGGCAGATTGGATGCTACTGGGAGACCGAGTAAATAGTCTCAAATTGCAGGCAGGACATTGATTAAAGCAATATCTCAGTTAGTTGATTTATTTATTTGCAAAAGTTCATTTTGCCTATGACTTTGGTCCAAGTGTTCACTTTGGTACTTTTGGATTCAAATGTGATAATATTACTATTGCTAAGTACTGCCCATGAGTTCTACCTGCAAACTCAGCCTCCTTGGAAAAAAAAAAAAAAGCGACAATGTTTGCTGGCAGTTTTAAGGAGCTGAGCCTCCCAGCGTGCCCTCGTCATCATCTGCTCTGTCCTTGGTAGTGCTGTCCTCTGTCTACAAGCTGCAGAGGGTGGTGTCTCCTCTACTCTCAACTCTGTGTGAGCATGTGGCTAACATGAGTAGTTCTATTTCTCAAGTATTTCAAAGAGCCAACAGTGGCATCTCTTGTTCTTCATGAAGTTAGAGCCAACCTCATTCCCCAAGGCGATGATCTGTGACTTCCTGCCTGGGGGATTTTGCTGACTGACCCTTAAGATGAGAACAACCTGCACCCCACAATCAACAAAGTCCCCATGGAAGATATTGCATCTGTTTTCTGAATGGAATTCTCCTTTCTAGAAGGGATCAGCCATAGCTGAGTTTGGGAGCCTTACCTCAGTCTTCCCTCCCAGCAACACCTTAATTCCATTCAGGTCAAGTCAGCCAAATGGATCTGCGGGGCAGTGCTGTCCAGGTCGTTCATTTGGGCGGCAGTGGCTTGAGCCTTTGTCAGTCACGGCGTCCAAGGGTGTGCATCAACAGGAAGCTAGAGCTGGGAAGCAACACCAGGCACTCCCATGTGTGGCAGGGATGTCTTCACTGGCATCTTAACTGGTATTCTGGCTGCTAGGCCAAAAGCTCACTTGTTCTCTCTCCACAATATCTTTTTCTTCCCTTCTAGAGGTTCAAACTGGATCTAGGTTCCCACCAACAAGTTCCGCAACTGGTGTCTGAATGATCTTAAACTGAGCTGACTGCTTCTATTTCCCTTTCTCAGAAACCCGAAGGCCGCCCTACATTCACTGAGCTGCTACAGGTGCTCACAGAGATGGCAGAAACCTGGTGATCTGCGATGGAATGTCAATTTATATGGTCACATGACAAGATTGTCACAAGATGAAATTGAAAGTAGGGTCACGACTGATGGTGAATCTCTTCCTTTATCATTGCTGACTCTTGGAACCAGGCCAAAGATCACAGGCTTTGGAAATTTTAAATTTAGGAATATTCTGGCGATAGTTTTTCTCCATTGTATGAGAGAGGTTTCTGAGCCGTGTTTTTCCTGTGGAATCTTTCCCATCCCATGTGTGAAGAAGGGAGAAAATCTTCATAGTGGGTACCCTTCATGGTCATAGCCAAAAACCCTAGAGGGTCGATGGCAGTGTGTTGTTTCACAAGGGGTCTCTTTCCTGAGGAGGAGTGACATTCATGACTTTGGTGGCCGATGCAGAGAAGATGAAAATAAATTCTGCCAACTCATGGAATGAATGAGGCCTCCTCTGAGTTTGATGATTTTGAGCCACGTAGATCCATATGAGAAACACAACTTTAGCCACTCCATGAATGTGGGCATTCTGGGTATGTCTCATAATCTTCCCATATGTTATTTACTAAACACTTTCTGCACCTGTATGATTGCACCTGTATGATTGCTTTGGAGACACTTGTATTCCAGTTTTAAGCTCCGTTACAGGAGATAATCAAATTCCTCCTTTGAACAAATCCTGGTGACATTTCCATTGACAGGTGAGAGCCATTGCCAGGAAATTCAGGACTTGATTTCACAGCGGGGGTCTCATACTTTGCGCCTGTGCCATTGGACAGCTCCAAAAAGTCTCATAGTAAGTGCCTTCTGTGCTTTTCTTATTGTTTCCAAAAGAGGAAGTACAAACAGGATATCAAACTCCATCATTTCTGAAGTCCAGGATTTTGAATTCAAGATGAGATAACCAACAACCATAGTTAAATCTTAGTTTCTCATGTACTGTTTATGACAATGCCAGAAACTGTTTGACTTCATTCTAAGTGCTTCTGAATAGTGTAGGGAGAAAGGAAAATGGTAGTGTAGTTCTCAAGAAATCTCACAACAGGAGCCCACTTTTGGGTGCTGTCTCAACCTGCCGTGGGTCAGGGGTCCATTCTTTCTCATTGTCACTAGAGCAGCTGATTGTCAATAGTTATAACTTTTATTTTGAAAATATTATTTTTGTTTTATTTGGAATACATTCATGCACACGTACAAAGAGATCTCTTCTATTTTCTGGTTCACTTCCAAATGCTTGCAATAGCTAGGCCTGTGCTGAGCCATAGTAAGGAACAAGGAGCACCATCTGGATCTTCTACGTGGATGGCAGGGACCTGAGGCTTGGGCCATCACCTGCTACCACTCAGGGTACACCCTAGCAGGAAACTGGAGTCAGAAGGCTAACACTGGAATCAAAGCTCTGCAATGTAGGAAGCAGACAGCCAAAGCCACATACTAAGCGCTATGCCAAGCATTCACCATACTAACTGTGACTTTTAAGTCATACTTCTTCCACTCTGAGAATTCTTTGAATATTACTAATACAAGTAACATCCATTGTTAGACTCTAATGAGCTTTGAGTGCAAGAAACATTTGTGTAAGGCACCAACCTGTATCTGAGATGATCACACCCACCAGCGGTTGTTCCTGCAAGCTGAAGAGAGACAGTGTCCCATTAGGGGAACACTATTCAAATATAACTTCCAAAATGTCACTCTAGAGGACATGAGACGATTACACAGCAGAGGCTGAGAGTGGGGCGGTTAATGTAGTGATACAGGGACTCGTGTGATATCCGTGTGTGCAATAAGGTGCCCTTTGGAGGTTTTGTTGAGCTTGGCACTCCTATTTCCCATCAAAAGAAAAAGCCAAAATCAACACAACCAAAAAATCCACACCCCACCCCCCCAAATTCCACAAACCCAAACACTGAAGAGCCAGTAATGGCTGTGGAACGCCTTCTGTCAGTGAGGACATACGATGCAAAGATTCACAGCCAGAGAGAAGTGATTCCTGGGCCTCATGACAGCAGCTGGCACTTCTAAGAGCAAGTGTTGGTGGTGATGGTGAGCTTTTTTTTTCAACCCCTCAGGAAAGTTGGAATTGACAAATTAAGAGCAAGAATCACTGGAGCTATGCCCTAGGCAACTAAGACTCCAGATAATGTGTGAATTTTAAATCTAAAATTTAAATCTAAATACCATAGTCTGTGTAGTTATGAAATTTTTCTTAAGAGATAGGGAACTATACTTCATAAGTATAACTATGCTGGTATGAGGTGGATATGGGTAGTTTAAGGCCAGATGCAGCAATACTTGAATAGCTCTGCTTGAGAAGTAAACAGGAGCTGTACAAATTGGTTGTAGAGAGTCCTGAAGACAGAAAAGTTATGTAGTGAAAAAGAAAATATGATACATGAAATTGAAGGATTCTAGAGGCCAAACAGATGATACAATCAATGACAATGACTTCTTGGCAAGAATAGCCCCAGGAGAGTTTGCTTTAATAAATTTATAAATGTGCTTATTTGTTACTTTTTCAAAATTTGAAAGCAGAGAATGTGAGAGCAAGGAAAAGAGCTAGAGAGAGAGCTCCCATCTGCTATATTACTGGGAGCTAGCCCAGGCTGGAGCCAAAAGCTGACAACACAATCTGGGTGCCCCACATTGGTGACAAGAAACCAATGACTTGAGCCATCCCCACTGTGTCTCAGGCTCTGCACTGGCAAGAATTGGGAGTCAGGAGTCAGTGCTTGAATTGAACCCAGGTACTCTGATGTGGGAGATGGGCATTGTACAGCCTTCAGTCTCTAGGAAGGTGTTCTCTCCTTGTGCCTACAGGATTATTAGGTCTCTCTTTACCTGCCTGCGGGATGCGGCCATAGTATGTGGGGCTCACTTTGATGTGAAGATGTATCTACCTTGGATTCACATCTGTAGACCAAATGCTGCGTCATGTAAACGCAAATATTCTAGCCCATGGATTATGTCTTAGTTTTAGCTTTTCAAGCCCTGATACTCAAAATTCAAAATTAACTTGTGGCATTTCCCAGGGCTAATGCTGGGAAAAGTCAAATCTAAAATCTTCCCAGGATGGCCTAAGCCTGGAACAAAAAGGGTAGAGGCCTGTTTTTTAAGCCTTTGTTCATTAAATCATAAAGAAATACACAAACCATGAGCACATAGCTTTATTAGCATTTGCAGAGTAGGGGCCAGTGATGCACTACCCCTGGAGTGTTGATAAACCATATGGACACTAGTTCAAATCTTGGCTGCGCCACTTCTGATCCATCTCTCTGTTAATGTGCCTGGAAAAACAGCAGAATATGGCCCAAGTGCTTGGGCCTCTGAAATAATGTGGGAGACCCAAAAGAAGCTCCTGACTTCACACTTGCCCAATTCCTGCTGTTTCGGTCATTTGGAGTTTTGGGGAATGAACCAGTGGATGAAGGATCTCTTTTTCTCTCTCTTTTTCTCCTCTCCTTCTCTCTGTCTCTGTATCTCTTTCTCTTTGGATCTGCCTTTCAAATAAATAGATATATCTTAGGAAAAAAAAACTGTATTACTGAGCCAGATCAAGAAGTGGTACATTGCAGAATTCCAGAAGCCATTCTCATTCACTAATCAAATCAAGTTAATTTTAAATTTTTTTTTGTATGTTGGATCTTTTGATATATAGTCTGTTGTGCCTAGTTTCTTTCCCTCAACAATAGGTTTGTTGACCCATCCATGTTGTATGTATTTGTTTTATTCCAGGGCTTATATTGCATTATGTAGTATAACTTTTCCATGTATTACTTTTTTTCTTTTGGGGGAATATTTGGATTATTTTCAGTGTTTAACTACTAAGGCCATTGCTGCTATGGACATTGTCCTATACATCTTTTGGTGACAATATGTATTTCTGTGTATATATGCCCAGAAATGGAATTGCGACACCAAATGGGATATGTTTGTGCAGCTCTTGTGAGTTATGCCCGACAGTGTTCTTCAGTGGATATCATCAAGGCTATAACCTGCAGCAGTGTATGGGAGATTCAGCTGTTCTACAGCCCAGGCAACAACTGGAATTGTTTTAGTTGGCTGTGACAATTGGCTGAGGACCAAAGGATGGGATGCCTCACACACAGCTTTGCTTTCTGCATTTTGCTGCCACATCATCTCCAGGCCTCCCTCTTGGTTGTCAGCGTTGTATGGAAAATGGAGAGGAAGGACTGGTGTTCAGGAAGGCTGGCCTGGGCCGTGTGTTTGCAGTTGCTCTCTCTTGTTTAGGGTAGGGCTGCCCTTGTCCTGTTTCTTTCAGACCTGGAGCTTCACCTTGTGGGCATCCTCTGACAGTGGATGGGATCATGAGTCTTGTTCCTGTCCCCTGCAAGGCCATTTGCCTTATGGGACTGCACAGCTTGGCCCTTTTCTGGTTAAGAAAAATTATTTTGCCCCTTGCTAAAATGGCAAGGAGGCTTTATGCAAGATGATTGCAATTGTGGGGAAAAGCTGAACTCATTGGCAAACAGTTGGCTAGTCATCTGGGACATTGCTGAGGAGACCCAGGTCCCATGTCAGAGGCCTTAGGTGATAATCCAGCTCCACTTCTGACTCTGGATTACTGCTGCTCTGAAGGCTGGGAAGCAAGAGGTGGTCACTCAAGCATTTTGGTCCTTCCTACCCATATCGGAGACTTGGATGAAGTTTCTGGCCCCTGGCTTTGACCTGGTCCAGCCCCAACTTCTGCAGGTATTTGGGAAATGAATCAAAACACCTCTTTGCCTGTTGTCTGCCTGCCTCTCTCTCCCCCAACCCCTCTCTGCCTTTGTCCCTCTGTCATTTGAATAAAATAAATAAAAAGTAAGTAACAAAAGAAAGACTGAACTGAACTCTGCAGCAAAGATAGTAGCTGGGGATGAGGTTTAATGGACAGGGCAGGAGTCAGGGATATAAAGGAACTAGGAGGAAAGTTCAGAGTAGACAGAGTCTTACCCGACTGGCTCAACAGGATGCTAACTAGAGGCAGAACAAGGACTTTATTATTAAGGGTGAGGGAATAGACTTTGATCAGATAGCCAAGGTCAGGAGATTCTTGCTGAACTGACTTAGCAAGATTCTTGCTACAGTCAGGCCAGGGATGGCCCCAGAAGGAGGCCTGGCCGAGACGAGGGCATGAGGCTGGGAAAGGAGATGCTTCATTCTTCTCTGATGAGAGTCTGGTAGAAAACCAAATTGAGCAAAGCATCTTTTTGTCCATGTTTGCTGGGGTACACACACCACAGCAGCTTCTTACCACTGGTGTAAATACGTGAGGCTTCAGGCTTGGGGCAGTCTTGTCATCCGTTCCCCAGTGTGCACATCCGGCCCTACCCTTTTCATTTTCAGAGACCCATTTTCCTTTGCTGTACTCAAGGGTATTTTAGAAAGATCATGGAAAATGCCCCTTCTAGCTGGGGCTAGGGAAACTGGGTTTAGTTCA